AATTGCATACTCACATATAATTTCATCTTTTGACTGTGGTTTGCTATTCTCTGTCTTGTAATTGATTGAGTGCTGAATATTTGTATAAAAATAGTTCAGATTGAAGTAAATGTTACTTACTTCCAGAAAATGGGCCATCATCCTATATAATAAAAGCCTAATATGCAAATTGTCCCCTCAGGTGGTTGTTCCACCGGGAGTCCTGGAGTTCAACCGCTCACTATGATGTGCACTGACCACCAGGGGGCGGTGTGGAATATGGCGAGGGTCAGGGACACTCTGAGACCTCTTGTCAGGGGTGAGGATGATAGGAACAGAGGTGTGGTGAGAATGCTAGTGTCTGCCGAGCTTACTCTCACTCCCCCTGCTACCTTCCCTCTGGGACACCAGGGCTTGTGCGCCGGGGAAGCCCCTGTGCTCAGGTCCCGGGCAGGTGCGAGGAGCCCACCCCGCACCTGAGGGGCATCTTCTGGGTGAGCCAGGCCACAGCTGCCAGGATTGCAGGGGCCGGTCGGGCTCTCCGTGAGTTCACGCAGGAGCTGGTCTGTGAGGCCGGCTGGGAGAGAGTGCACTGCCCACCTGGCTTCCATGTAGCGCCTCTGGGCGGCCCAAAGGCCCATGCTGCTCCCTGGCCCATGGTGTCCGGTCGCGCTCACCGCATCTCTGTGTGGGGAGTCAGGCGCTGTGACTCAGGTGGAAGGGGGTGCCCGGGGGCCCAGGTGCTGCCCAGGGCCCAGAGGTCAGCTGGGACCTCCCCATCCATACCAGATGCTCACGCTTCAATCACCGGCCAGGCCTAGGGACTGCATCTTGCATAAATTTCGTGCACCGGGCTTCTAGTTTCTAATATTAGCCTGATAATGGGGCTAAGTCAATAAGATGAATAGTGGAGCTAGTTCTGGGCTTTTTTGAAACTTTAGTTAGATTTCTTTTAAGTGCTTTGAGAGCAGTATTAGGGCTTTTCACTTTCTGCAAGATTTGTCGTCTGATTGTAATTTCAGTTATTTCTTTGTGCTTTATATCTGAGCCATCAGCTTTGGGACCTTTGGGCATTTTCTCTGCTTTACAGCCTAGCTGTCTGTTCTTTGGTCATTCTGGAGTTCTTTGTACTCTTTAGCCCTGCCCCAGGCTTTTTTGTGTCCATTGTGATAACCTACCTCTCTCTCTACCAGTAATGTCTTCCAGGGTTTTCTCTCAGCAAACCTCCCTGCCCTGGTAATGTGCAGAGGATCTGGGTGGAAATGGTTCTTTTTGGAATGATTTTTTGTTTTCACTTTTGCCCATCCCATACTTCTCCTCCCATCAGAGAACAGATTTATTGCATTTGAGGGAGACGATAAGCTTCTTAGGGTTTCTCTCAGCTTTCCAGCTCTGTCCCCCAATCTTGGTCATATTTTTAAGCACTTTGGTGAAGACCTGTGGTAATGAGTGATTTGCTCTGTGAAGTCTGTGGAATTCTAATATGTCTTGTCAGCCTACATGTTACTATTAAGATTTATTAAAAGTAGGCTTATTTCTCTTATGGTGGAACTATTCCTCCTGAACCCCTCCATCAGGAAAGAGACCACCTGTGTGCCTCTCTTCTGTCAGTTAATTCCACTTAGGTTGCTTTGCATCCTTAGCTCTCTGATGGGTTCAGAAAAACTATGATTTTGTAGCTTATCTGGCTTGTTTCGATTATTAGGGTGAAAGTGATGGTCTATTGTGATTTTCTATAACCTGATTAGGAATGGAACTCCTCTCGTGGATATTTTCGTTTTTTTTTTTGTTTGTTTGTTTGTTTTTTTTGTTTTTGTTTTTTTTTTTTCTTGTTAAACCTCACCTGAGAATATTTTTCCATTGATTTTATTAGTGTTAGTGGGAAAGACAGAAAAACATCAATGTGAGAGAAAACACATTGATTAGTTGCCTCTGACCAGGGCCAGGGCCAGAGGAGCCTGCAGTCAAGGTATGTGCCCTTGACGGGGATCGAACCTGGGACCCTTTGGTCCGCAGGCCAACGCTCTATCCACTAAGCCAAACCAACTAGGGCAGCAGTTCTCAACCTGTGGGTCGCGACCCCTTTGGCAGTCGAATGACCCTTTCACAGGGGTCGCCTAAGACCATCCTGCATATCAGATATTTAACTTACGATTCATAACAGTAGCAACATTACAGTTATGAAGTAGCAACAAAAATAATTTTTTATGGTTGGGTCACAACATGAAGAACTGTATTTAAAGGGCCAGAAAGTTGAGAACCACTGAACCAGGGCACCATCGACTATTTTTTAATGTGTAGTTTGGTAAATACCTGATAAAATTTATTTCAGTAGATTTTCTATAGTATTTCTCAGAACTAGGTTTCTGAATATTTTTCATCTCAAATCTTAACTTTTCAGTTCTGTCCTCAAGTGGTCAGTGATCTTGTCTCTTTGAAATTAAAGTCATCAGCATTAAAATTTAACTGAGGGGCTTGTGAAGAATATGGGAAAAATTTGTGGTAGGTACATAGAAAACTAAGCAATAAAAAACTAAGGTAATTAACTCAAGGGGAAAAAGAGTTGTACAAAAAGGGAAATATGATTAAGTAGTAGTTTACTGCTAATCTTATCAGGCACAGAACTACAATTGGGAGTTAATTATCTTAAAGGTTGGAGGAATGTGAGTGGTTGTAGTGTAAATCCTCATTTTCCACTGAAAAATGAACAGATAATACCTAAACTTGATATTTTAAAGGATACCATTATAAGTCTATTACAGTAATCCCCCCTCATCCATTGGGAATACATTCTAAGACATTGTTCATGAATAAAAATAATTTTTATTGGACTAAATATATTGTCAAAATCTAAAAACTTATTCATATTGACACTGTGAATTATTTTCTGAGTTCAGCAATTTTGATGCCTGTCCTGATTTATAAATCACCATATAGTTGCCTAAGCATGCACAGGACATTATGAGCACTGTAAAATGATTGGTGTCTATATTCTTTTCTAAATTAGTACATTAATAACTTTGACTAAAACCAGCATTAACCCATTAAAATTTTATTCGGAGCATTCAGTATTCTTACATTAATTTTAGCCTATCCTATATAATAAAGAGCTAATATGCTGATTACACCGAACAGCAGAACTACCGTCTGGATGACCTTTCGGATGAAGCTGAGCCCCTTGCACGAATTTTGTGCATCGGGCCTCGCGCGCGCGTGCGCGCACGTACTACCTTCCCCTGTTATACATACTTAATATTTATGATAAAGTTTATAAATTAGACATAGTAAGAGATTAACAATAATAACAAGTAATCAAATAGAACAATTATAACAATATGTTATAATAAAAGTTATATGAATGTGGTTTCTTTCTCTTTCTCTTTCACTCTTTCTGATAACCGATCTAATAACCTAGATAGCTATTAAGTGACCGGGGGTGGGCCAGTATTCATTGTGGATATTCTGGAGAGAGGGATGATTCATATCCTGGGTGGGATAGAGTGGGACAGTGCTAGATTTCCTCACACTACTGAGAATGGCATGCAACCTAAAATTTATGAATTGTTTATTTCTGGAATCATGTATCTAATAATTTTGGATTACTGTTGACTGAGGGTAACTGAAGTCCTGGAAAGTGAAACTGCAGATTGGGTCTGAGGGGTTGGAGACTACTATACTGAGTTATAAATAGCAAGATTAAATAAAAGTTTTAAGATTTAAAAAAATTGTATCTTGGTGTGAGAAGAGCAATTATATTTGACTATACTCACTATGCACATTATTACTTAAAAATGAAAATATATTTTTTAAAAGAAGCTTAATTAAAAATCTTCTCAAGGGATGTAAAAGTGAACCAAAGAGGGAGAGATAGAAACATCAATGATGAGAGAGAATCATTGATCGGCTGCCTCCTGCACGCCCCCTACTGGAGATCAAGCCTGCAACCCAGGGCATGTGCACTGACTGGGAATGGAACCGTGACCTCCCAGTTCATAGGTTGATACTCAACCACTGAACCACACAGACTAGGTCCCAAACCTTTTCTTTATATCTCTGTCTACCTTTCTTTCTTTACTAGAGGCCTGGTGCACGGCAATTGTGCACTGGGAGTGGGAGGGTCCCTCAGCCTGGCATGCACCTTCATGCAGTCCAGGACCCCTCGGCAGGGAGAGGGCCTAAGCCGGCAGGCGGACATCCCCCGAGGTGTCCTTTAGTGCTGCTGCGGAAGTGGAAGAGGCTCCCGCTACCGCTGCTGCGCTCCCTGTGGGAGTGCTGCTCAGCCAGAAGCTGGGCTCGTGGCTCTTTAGCACTGCCTCATAGGCAGGAGAGGCTACTGCCACTGTGCTCACCAGCCATGAGCCCAGCTTCTGGCTGAGCTGCGTGCCCCCTATGGGAGCACATTGACCACTAGGGGCAGCTCCTGCAGTGAGCGTCTGCCCCTGGTGGTCAGTGCACATCATAGCAACTGGTCGTTCTGCCATTCAGTCAATTTGCATATTAGTGTTTTATTATATAGGGTTCTTGTTATATATTTTACACTTTCCCTTCTTATAACTTTAGATTTTTGTTTCATGTACCAAGTCAATTATGAAAATTAAAAACTTTGGGGAGAGTGGGCTTGTAAATTTTTAAAAAATATTTCTGTGAAATGTTTTGAAAATTAGGTTGAAGTTCTAAAAAGTGAGAAAAAGCTTTTCTTTTGGTGAAAGTATTTTGATTATTGACACTATTAAAAGTTAATTTAGTATTAATAGTGATTAACTGGTCCAGTATTGATAAATATTTTATTTGTAAAATTATTATATTTACTCACTTATAACATTGTGTCTTTTGTAAAAGGGTCTATTTCCATAATTTGTTTAAGTTAGTTAAGATATTTTAATGGGTGAAGAAGAGAGCTTCTGAAAAATCTGTTGTGAAAATAGTAATTTGAATTTCTATCTCATTTTGTAATTTGCTTTTGATACCATGTTGAAGTAATTACTTGATTTTAAAGTTCCCCTCTAAATACCTTTTCCATATCTTTTCTAGGTTAGAAAAGGAAGGCTATTTCCTTAGTGTGGATTGCTGCCTTTAGTAAGAATATGTCGTCCATCTTGCCATTCACTCCACCAGTTGTGAAGAGACTGCTGGGATGGAAGAAATCAGCTGGTGGATCTGGAGGAGCAGGTGGAGGAGAGCAGAATGGACAGGAAGAAAAGTGGTGTGAGAAAGCAGTTAAAAGTTTGGTGAAGAAGCTAAAAAAAACAGGACGATTAGATGAGCTTGAGAAAGCTATCACCACTCAAAATTGTAATACTAAATGTGTCACCATACCAAGGTAAGTGTTGTCAGATCAGAAATTTGATGGTCATCCTGTTGAAAATTGCTTAAAGGAATCTGAAGGAGAATTATTGAAATTTTGTTACTTTCAAGTCACCTGTAAATAGTAATTACTAGAATAGGACAGCTATATTTAGTCTGTTGTATTAATTTTGTTGTACTCTTTAGACTTATTTTACAAGTCATTTTCTTAAACAGTGAGGTTTAATCAAGCAAAATAAAATACTTCCATTATATTAAGTTTCATCTTCACTGTCTTCATTTGCCTTTGTTGCCTAAATGCTTCCATGGGTTTTATCTAATTTCTGTGATTGAATGACATTTGAGTAAAGATTCAGTGCTTTTCTATCCCTGGTGCAGTACTGCTAGACACATTTCTTCCCTCTTGGTTAAAACTTCACTCAGAAAGGAATTGAAAGAGTCTACTACCATTTACTACCATTGTGTTGAATTTTATGTATTATTTTGTTTGAGTTGTAGTGTTACTTCTAAAAGAGTACAGTATGTAAGGCAGCTTCTTAGATGTTAGACATGTCTTGAAGACCTACCTCTTGTATTGAAAGGACCCATTACTTATCTAGTAAGAAGTCAAGTTTTAGTGTCAATTTAATAATTTATAGATAAGTACCACTGTGAGAAATACTGTTTGTTTTTTAAAGAATGTAGATGTTTTTTAAGTGTTTCATTCCTTTTTATGTACGTTACAGGGCTTTTGGGAGTGTCTGCATAAAAGGATTGTTTGCCGTGTCATGCACATGGGCTGGCATATGGGTATAGCACATGAAACCATTCCACTTGACATGTTTTCAATGAGCTTTTGGAAATACACTCTGGGTGCTTGTTGATAATAGAACCAGTAACACCCAGCCTATCTACTTGCAAATACTAAGAGTAGAATGTTTCCTTCTTGTTTGGTAGATTATTTATTCATTTCTTTTTACCTTGTTTCATGTATATCTTAAATAAGAGTCATTTTTCTTGTTTTATTCTTTTGTTTTACAAATGCTTATGAGTACCTGATGTGTGCAAGGTACTTTTTCTAGGCACATGGAGATACAGTGATGAACAAAACACCAAGTTTCTGCCCTCTTGAGGAATTGATATATACAATAAATAAGTGGAAAATATAATTTGGTAATGAATGCAAAAAAGACAATGATTGAGAGATAAAAAAAGCCGCTTTGGATTGGATTGTGATGTTTTAACCTAAGCTTTGAGAAGTACCAAGCTAGCTGAGGATAGCGTCTTCTACGCAGAGGGAAGAGCTGGTGTAAATACTCTGAGATGGAAAATTATTGTAATGGAGCCCCATAGAGTTGGAGTAATACAGAATGAGTACAAAACTTGGAAGGAGTCAGATCATATAGGGCATTGTAGGGCACTGTGGGAGTTTGAATTTTAGAATAAAATTAATAGAAAGCATATAAGGATTTTAATGGATTTCTAAAATTTAAATCCACTTTTAGAGGATTTTTTACATACACTTTTACAAAGACTGCTGGGGACGTGGTGGTGGGGATTGTGGTGTGTGTGTGTGTGTGTGTGTGTGTGTGTGTGTGTGTGTCTTTTAAAATGAATGGTGGGTCTGGAAGCAGAGAAATTAGGAGGCTATTATAGGAATCTAAATGAGATTCGGCAGGCTGGACTGGCGCGGTGGCTGAGCATATGTGAAATGAATGAATTTGGCATGTATTTTGGAATTACAACTGATAGGACTTGCTAATGAATTGGCTAAGAATAAGTCAAGCTATGTTTGTTAAGTTTTCATTGTGTAGCACCCAGCATTTCAATTCAGTAAACATTTTTCAAATAGCCACTACATGTATGATAGGCTCTTTCTCATTGAGTTAAAGTATAATTTCTACACTTGAGCCACTTGCTGTTAAGGGAGACAAACTTTAAAAATACAAAAAAAAGATAATTTTGTGCAGTAGGTGTTATGAAAGATGTTTGCTCAGGGAGCTATGTCCAAAGGAGGGGAACTTTGCCTACTTTGTGGCTTGTGGAAAGTTTTCTTCTGGAGGAAGATTGGTGCCTGGATTGAGTTTTGATGGATGTAAGGGAGGAATTTCGTTGGAAGAATCCCAATTCATCCAGAGTAGCACTGTGGTATTGAGAGTGTGGTGGTAGGGAAGGGCTGGTGAAGGGTTCTAATTTAGTTTGTGTCCTAGGAGTGTAAAGTGGAGCGGGGACATGGCAGGAGTGAGTTTATGTATGTGTTTATAAGGAACTACACTGGGTTGAGGAGTTTACACTGCACCTGAATATGGTTGGGTGAGGGTGGATTCATTGAAGAGTCTTAGGTAAAGAAGACTCAGAAATTAGATTAATTTTAAGTATAGCATCTGGCTGCAGTGAGGAAAATAGTTGTGAGACTGTCAAGAGTAGAGGCAGTTAAGAGTATGTTGTCTCCCTCATCAAAGAGATGTGATCCAGAAGGCATGGAGCCATATTTTTTCCCAGCTTCACCTAAGGCTCAAATTGCCTTTGCTGAGAGATTATTGACAGAGCAGAGCCTGAGAGTAAGGCTATGCAATCCTGTCTTTTAAGAAAGCATAGTAAGTAGCAACCTACTGATTAAAATTCACAGACATGGGTATTTAAACTGTGGAGGTCAACTTAGATCTCTCTTCCTTACTTTCTGTTCTCCTTTTTGTAGCCTTTTAGAGAATTTTTCATATTCTAGGCTACTTCATCATTAAAAGGTACTTTTCTACCCTTTAACTCTATGAAAGCAAAGTGGTGTTTGTCCTTTACGTTATCTTGTGTTTTACCATCAGAAGTTCCTTGAAGCTTAGAAACTTACTTGTCTAACTTTGTGTTACTTTTATATTGTAGAAATGTAGGTTTGTTAATATTGCTTGTGTCTATCAAAAAATTTAAGCTTCTTACACTATAGTTTGGTGCCATATATTTTTATAAAGTTTGCTTTATTTTCAGTAGTACAATAGTAATATTATGTTAGATGATTAGTGATTTCTTAACTACAAAATGTCTTTAAAGATAATTGTAGACTGTAAAGGATAGGGAATGGGGTGAAAAAAGATATATTATGGATAAATCCAAACCATAGTTTAAACAAAATTGTTTAAAATATGATGGCAAATGGATTTAATGTAAGCTTATTTACTTAAAATTGTAAGTAAGTTGTTAATAAAATATCTCAAGGTTTTACGAAACTTATCAAAAAAGAGTTTGCTCTCTCTAGAAGTTAGCCGTGAGAGGAGCAATCTCTCTTAATACCAAATGTCAGAGTATCAAGGATAATAAAATAATAGTCATTACATTCTCCTATACAAGTTTGAAATTTAAGCCATCATTTTGCAGAAGTGTACCTTAAAAAATGTAGGCTCTTCAGCCAGCCAGATATAAATCCTGGCTCTTATCTCAATAGTTCTGTAACTGAGTTATTTTATTTCTTTATTTGAAAATAGCAGTCTTGTTAATTCACTTTAGGTTGATGTGAGTATGAATCACATAATACATGTAAAGCACTTTGAATGGTTCCAGGTACATAACAAATGCTTAAAACAAGTTTGGAAATTTTGAGGTAAGTTTCCTGTAGCCAATGAAAATTTAATTGTTTACTTCTATCTTTGCTAATTTGTTAAGGACAGGGTTGTGCCCAAAGCTTCTTTCTTGGTGATGGAAGGTAAAAAAAACTATCCGAAGGTAGGCATATTCTTGTTTTCCATTCCCCATCCTTCAGCTGTATAGTGGTGAAGAAGTACACAGACATAGATATAGGACATGTAATTATAGAGATTTCCTTTTATTATCATGATCACCTCTTGATTTCTGAATTATTTAGTCATATCTAAAATGAAAGTACTGTTGATTGTTGTAAGTAGAAATAATTATGGATGAGTAGTTACAAATTACTTTGTAGATGTTCCTATTTCATGAATTCATCAGTAATAAAGATCTGAAGACTCAAATGAAGTTTCTTTTGTGTATACCATTCTGTTAATTTATTAACCCCTTTAATTTTACTCAGTGTTCAGCATGCTTTATAATCTTTCCACAGTGACAACCTAGATTCTTGCTCCTTTTGATTTGTAGAAAAAATATACTCTTTAGGCTAGAAGGTCATGAAAAATAATAAATTATTAAGACATAATTGCTGTATTAAATCATGCAAATATGGCAGGAACAGGGGCACTTTTTAAATGATTTATATGTTCTATGGTATGAGCCTTCAAAGCTAGTGTTACTTTCTTTAACTTAGTTCTTCTCATTGCTTCTTTTTCATATCCTGATAACAAGTACATGAATACATATACATGTCCTTAATACAGAAAGAATGTCAATTAAGAAACATAATGTCTGTTTGAACCAAAGTGCAAAATGTTAATGTAGATGTGTGTGTAAAATACCATGCATGTAATAGTTGGTAAATTGTACACTAGATTTAAAGTTTTAACTTCAGTTTTCAAAAGTCAGTTTATTAGATGAAAAAAGCTTTAATATGTTAATTTTACTGATATTGTAAAAGTGATACTAGGGAAATTCTGTATGGATTTCTGCCAGGTTTACTACCAAGCCATCTGGTTAGTCCATGATTAATTAATACACTGTAGGCCATACAGACTTCTTTGGCATATTAGCATCCTAAAAATTTTAATAACTATTCCAACCAGAATTTTTTTTTTTTAATTCAGTCTACGTAAGCAAGAAAGTTACAGAGTTGATAGGGGATAATCTGCCTTTAAGAAGTTATGTTCTATACATACTAGAGGTCCG